GGTAAACTCTGGCCCTTCAGAATACCATTTTTTGTGCTTAGCCAACAGCCAGCACACCAACAAAAACTCGCATGAAATAAAAGTCACTAAGTCTTAACTTTGGATGAGTCAGATGCCCTATTCCCACAAGTACTGACTACACCTGCGTAGGCAAACAGAGGAAGTTTAGGTTAGATATAAGGAAGAAGTTCTTCACAGTGAAGGTGGTGAGGCACTGGAATAGGTTGCCCAAGGAAGTTGTGAATGCTACAACCCTGGAGGTGTTCAAGGCCAGGCTGGACAGAGCCTTGGGCAACATAGTTTAGTGTGTGGTGTCCCTGCTCATGGCAGGGGGGTTGGAACTAGATGATCTTAACGTCCTTTCCAACCCAAACCATTCTATGATTCTATTTTTTTCTATTTTTAAATAAAATTTTTCAAAAGGTGTTGCTTAACACAGATGTGTCGTTAGCTGCAGAGCAAATGGGGCCATTTGATTCACAAGAGTTTTGATTTCCACTCTTCAGAAGTGCAACACTTCAGCATAGGATATTCATCTCTCATAAGAGGGGTTCAAACTCTGTATCGCAGAATCCTGCTGGGATTTGGCAGCTTATTTCCGTGAGCTGGTTGTCAACAGTGGTGGAATTGATGATAGTGTTATGAACAACGTACATCTACACATTACCCCCTTGATGTGTTAAGGCATGCATATATCACACTTGTAATGAAATTAATTAGAGAATGACATGGGATACTCATTAGAAATATAACAACACATTAGGCAGTCCTGTCAACTATTTAATGTGTGTCATAGTCTCAGCAAACTCATTTCTTTCAAGAACTTCAACTTGTCTCAAATTGCTAAACATATTCTCCCATTTAAACAGTTTGCACAGTTCAAGTGATTGACTTATGAAATAATTTCTGCTCCACTGATGGTGATATTTTATTTTCACATCCTTTTAAACTTCATTGTAAAGCCTTCTTCCCGTTGCAGTGCTTATTGCTTCATATTTTCTTACACCGTCCCCTTATTACTTAAATAGTTTTTCCTTTGCATCCCTTGCCAGTGTAACTATCCAGAATATCCAGATATGTAAGTCTGTGGCTCAACATGTGTTTCCCACAAGAGCTCTAAGATGGGAATGAAAGGTGGCACGCACTTACCCTCACCCAATAGGCAGTCATATTATCAGTAAGTGAAATAGTTATCTAGTTAGAAATAGAGAGCCAACTTTAATAGAGAATTTAGGCATGGAATTATGTATGGTTATTTATTATTGCTTAGTAGGATTTCTAGCATATCATCAGTTATATCACATTAGTTGAATTCTACATGACAGCAGAAATCTGCTATCCATGATAAGGGGTATATCACATCCCTGGCATGATAGGGGACGTCATATACCTACTTGATGCCATGCTCTTTGACCTAAGTATCTATAAGGTTGTTCCAGAAATGAGTCCCATTATCTGACTAAATCCTTTCTGAGGTGCCATGGTGCCATATCCTGGGATAGAGTTAATTTTCTTCCTAGTAGCTGGCGCAGTGCTGTGTTTTAGCTTCAGTCTAAGAACAGTGCTGATAACATACCAATTTAGTTGTTGCTCAGTAGCACTTAATCTGACCAAGAAGTTTCTCAGTCTCATGCTCTGCCAGAGAGGAGGGGAAGCTGGGAGGAAGCAGAGACAGGACACCTGACCCAAAGTGGCCAAAGGGGTATTCCATACCACAGCACGTCATGCCCAGTATAGAAACTGGAGGGAGGTATCTGGAAGGGACTGATCAATGCTTGGGTCAGCCTGGGTATTGGTTGGCTGGTGGTGAGCAATTGCACTGTGCATCACTTGTGTTTTCTGAGCTTTCATTCTCTGTTTTTGTTGTTATTGCCTATTATTATCATCACTATTGTTATTGTTGGTATTATTTCTATTATCACAATATTCTACTTAATTTCAATTATTAAACTGTTCTTATCTCAACCCATAGGTTTTATATTCTTACAATTCTCTTCCCCATCCTGTCAGGGGCAGGAGAAATTAGGGAAGGATGAGCAGTGGCTGTGGTACTGAGTTACCAGCTGCTGTTAAACCATGACAAACCTTTTTGGCACCCAGTATGGGGCACTAAAGGTTGAGATAAAGACAGATCTGACCAAAGGGTGTTAAAACACATATTTTGTAAGCATTCATTGTATTGTAATAGTCAATGGTCACAGTATTCTCAGAGTTCATGTGTGTGTGCTCACTGGTACACTACATAACACTATTCTTGTCCTTTCCGGTCCTTGTGGTGATGTTTATCCGTGGGGCTTGGGCTAAGGTTATAATTCTGTTGTACTTTGGAGTGCTGCGTTATGACACTATAGACCCCCTGGTCATGAGAGTCCTCGGTCTGTGCTCTCGCTGTTGTCGTCACCTTTGTTCCTCGGGAGCCATCTGGTGACAACTATGAACAATTACACCTTTGGCCTTTTCTGGGAGAGCCGACTGGTAACAGAAACATCTTCCTACCGCGTCCGTCCGTTCTTCCTTTCTTCCTTCCTTCCTTCCAACATCCTCCCTCTCCTCCAGGATAAGTACACTAGTAATGTTTTACTAGTTTTTTCCGGATTTTGCACGTGTTCAGGGGTGAAATTCCAAAACGTTGGAAGTGCTCACTGGCCTAGGTACTTGCCCATACTATCCCACACACCCCTGCCACTCGTAACTGTCCAGCCTCTGGGCAGATCTCTGGTATTCTTACATAGTGGTTTAACCTTAAACAAAACCTGAACTATATGCAGCAACATGCTGGTTCCTAGCAAAAGGACCAGGCTGGTTTCAAGGGTGCTCAAGGGACACTTAAATTTTTTTAAATTATCAAACACTAGTGTACATTCAGCCTAGAGGAGAAAGAAGCTGTTGCAAGGAAGGAGGAAAGGAAAAAGGAAAGCTGCAGGAAGCTGTCTTCCCCATAGGCTCGCACTCAGAGAAGAAAAGGAAAAGATGTAATTATTAATAGTACCCAATAGATGACTTCCAAAGTACAGAGATGATGTCAATGCTGACCGAGTACACATACCACATTAGTTTCATGAGCAGTGTTTCTATCATATCATAAACCAGTATTACAAAGTAATACTTTTTTTTTTAATATATAAAATTATAATCTCAGCCCAGGCCCCAAGGATAATAAACATAATCGCACAGAACACATACTGCAAGTACGGTGTCACATAACACAACCCTAAGAACAAGCACAACAACTCTGAGAGCAAATAAGTCAACACCATGGCCAGTGACTATTAAATCAATACAGTGAATGCTCACAACAAATTTGTTTTAACATGGTCCAGTCAGATCTGGCATTATCTCAACCCTTCCAGGCCCATGTTGGGTGCCAAAAAGGGACTATCAAAAACACAGCACTGTACCAGCTACTATGAAGAAAATTAACTCTATCCCCGACAAAACCAGGACATGCTGACAACCAAGTCACCTCATTTCCAAAGCAAACTCCTTAATTTCCTCGACTCAATACTTGCTGAAATTTTGCCCTCAACGTCTGAACTGGGTAAGATTCAGGAAACTACCTTTTGCCCATTTCTTTCAAGCAACCCCTTCCCTCTGCTGCTGCTTGTGCTATTTGCAGCTGTTTTCATAGCACATTCAACTCAATGATGAGTAAGAAGTCTACAAAGCAACCTCTTCCAGGGTAATGACTCCCTCCATATTCTAAATAGCCAAAGAATTTGGATAAATAACCAAACTAAAACCCAATAGCTCTAATTCTGAGGTTTGCCTATTATCAGCCTCAAGATAACATGCAAGCAGAATTAAAGAGTCAAGTAATTCAAAGTGAGAGGCAAGATATCAATCTGGTAAAAAATAAAAGAATACACTGCACCTTGATCCAGCATGTTGCTATTGGTATGTATGTGTCATTCAAATAAGATGCATTAATCACTGAAAAATACTTCCTGAAAATCAAGTGTTTCTACTCACCTTCTCAGCTGCAGATCTTAGGAGGTGAGCTGCAACAGCATGTGCAATAAGGTTCTCAAATTACTAGCAACTATTAGCTGGTCCTAAATGCAGAACAAAAACCAAAACAGAGCCTGATGCTCTATGCCTGAAAGATAATGAACAATAAATGGGCCTGCATACCTGTGAGACTGGAATTGTGCTGCTCTGGTATTACAGAAGCAGTATCCTGGAAGATGATCAGCATCTTCTGGGACATGTCCATACATCCAGTGAGGCCTTCAAAGCTCCCATACTTGAAATACTTAAGTAGAGCTAATTTGCCCTCAAAGCCACTTGCCTGCTTCTGAACTGTCAGGGACAGGAATGAAAACAGAAATGCAACAAGATATGCCCTTCCAGGGCCCTGTTTATTAAGTGAATACAAAAATAAGATCATTTAAGTGCAGAGGCACAATAATCCGCTCCATGGTTAAAAGATATCTTGGATTAGCAGTAAACAGAGTTCACAATGCCTTGTAAACAGACCTCTTTACAAGCAAGAGGCATACTGGAACAGGACACACATTGGATTAAAAGTTCCCTGTTGCAGCAATACTCCACACTTCTCATCTTGAGATTTCAGAGCACTTCACAAAAGGTGAGAGCATCCTTTGCTCCGTTTTCAGAGGAGCCCATGTGAAACAAATGAAACACAAAGAATTTGCACTGTAAAAAGTTGAGAAAGTGCTGCTGCATGTTCCAAGGATGATGGCTTACCCCTTGTGAGGTATGGTCTGCAATGAAAAATAACAGCCAAAGCTATTGTGCATTATGGAAGTTTTAAAAATGAATACTTCTTTTTAAAATTATTTTTACAGCAACCTGTGGCACAGTTGAATAAAAAATAACTTTTTTCTTAATACAGTACATGGCATTTCTCCTCAATTGCACTACAAGTAAATTTGGAAGCACTTTCAGTTTGTGTTATAGGCAAATAGGAAAGAAAAAAATGTCAGGCAGGCTTTCAATCTCCTTTCCATCTCTCTGCCCACTGTTTTATCCCCACCCTTTCACATCTCAGAGTCCACATACATTCCATTGATCAGGTAATCCACTTGTGTGTAATCCTTCTTCTTGTAGCTCTCATAGGCCTGCATAAGGAAAAGAACTATAACAGTTATGAAAAAAAACATACCAACTAAAAGCACTGCAAGAAGCAAACTTTTATCCACCAAATACTGAGTCAGGGGCTCCGCTGCAATGAGAAGATACTCATTGTCCATGTCCTGAGTTTCTGCAAGGCCTGAAACTGTTGCTTTGGGTATATCTGCTGGAACCATGGCTGTTGAAAAAATGTGAGCTGTTGACTTTATCCCATGCCTAGTCACAGTTTCTGCTATGTTGGCAGTAGTTAAAACTGTGGCACTTCCTGTAGAACCCATATGAGAAGTTGATTTACTCAAGGATGTTGTAGTTGTACTCGCTTTTGAATCTAGATTTGGCAATGTAAAAGGCAGTGGATTTGCAGAGTGAGAACTCTCTAAGGGGGTAACTGCCACAGCACGAGTGGAAGTAGCGGCAGATGTTCCTACATCTGGTGGGCTGAGGGTGGCCAGTGTTGTGCTCAGTGTCTTCAGGCCAGATACAGTAGTGGCGGGGCTACTAGAGTGGGGAGTGCTGGTGTTGGTTGGCTTAAACTGCTCTGTCTGAGGCACTGGAGTACCTGAAGTGACACTGAGGAGAGCAGAAGTGGGGGACAATACTGAGACAGAGCTGCTATTTCCAGATTTCTCAGTGGTGGTCACATGCTTGGTGACATGGCTGGAAGTGGAAGCAGAGACGTTACCAGATGTGGGAGAAGAGGCAGTGGATGATATGGCTGTAACAAGTTGACTAGGAACTCCATGGGTGTTTGAGGCTTTAGTAGTTGTTTCATAAGCTGAAGTGAGGACAGTTGCATTTATAACATCTGTTATTATGTCTGTGGCAGTGGTGGTGGTTGCTATGGTGGTGGTAGCATTGCTTGCAAATGTTTTTCTTGCATCTGTTGTTATGTCTCCACTCACAGCCTGAAGCAAATGCCTCGAGTGAATCTTGCGAGTCTGAGCAGGTAAGGAGGACAGGTTTTCCATGCTGTTTCGGTCAGCCTGTGCATTCACCATCCTCCTCTTTTTCTGTGGATAGCTTTGGTGGTGAAACAGGATTGTTTCCCTTTTCCCAGTGGCAATTTCTTCAAAAAGACAAAACCAATGAGTATTATAAGACAAACTCTCAAGATCAAATCTGACTTCAAACCCCCAACATGCAAACCAGAACACATTCTGCAGCACATGTGGTACAACTGGAATAAATCAGTCCTAAAATTAGCAATTTTTTTTTGAGGGGGAGGGAAGAGATGATGTTTGCTATTTGTTTTTGCCGTAGACCTCTGGCATTTGCCCAGCCAAGGAATTGTTTCCACAAAAGGGGGGTAAGGAAGTCCAGAGCTGCAATGCAGAAGTACATTATCAACAGGACTAGCGTTACAAATGCCAGCTCCTGAAAAGAAGCTCTCACACTTTCAAAGTTACACAGCATCAACAAAGCCTTCGTGCTCAGATTCATAATTTTCACCTCTCAAAACTGAGTGGAAATTTCCGCTTACACCTTCATACTTCAGAAGAATTTCCTTCACAATTAGTGATCTAGATTTGTAGTGACATAAATCCCATCAAAGGCCTTTGCTTATCAAAAGTCTGGTTGCTATATTGCAAAGAAAGCTTTGCCAGCCCAAAAGAACCATGAACAAACTTATTTTAAAAAAAAAAAAAAAAAAAGCAAACCCAAAACTTGGGTGCAGCAAACTCTTGAAACATACTGTAGAAAATTGATTCCCCAATTTCCACCGAGCTCCATTTTGTTACTGTGTCACTTAATTAAAATTGAAGACCCTGGCACTGTAAAGTCACCATGAGCAATTGCTACTAAGGCTGCTCCCATTATAGAAGCAGCCTGCTGCCTCTGGCACAAAATCCTGGCGATCTCAGGAAAAGCAATGCCAAGGCATTTTTCCTTTCTCTTAAAAAATATAAATAACATCTGTTATGCCTTAATTTTCCAAAGGAGGGTGTGTGGAGTGCAAACGGCTTGAATGACTGACATGTTCAATATGGTGACAAACTGTTACTCAGTAACAGTTACGCGAGTTACTCAAAGACACATCAGGCACATGTAAGTGCCAGAGTCCTCACAAGGCTAATGGAACAGTTTTTCCAGCGGTCCAAGTTCACCTACAGAATCATCCTGCAGGCACCTCACAACCTATTTGTCTCTTCTAAAACCCAGTCAATGTGTAAACATATGCATTTAAAGCAAAAGGACAAGGATCCTGGATTTAGCAGGAGCCTGAAGCATGGCACTACCTCCAAGCAGATCTTTGATGTCTTGTTCTCCCGCATTCTGGCACGCACTCAGCTGGTGACACTGCAAGAGGATGCAATAATTCTGGTAGGGCACAGACCAATTACAGTGATGGTTACCTGAAAACAGCAGAGAAAATAAAGTCAGAGAATCACAGAATGGTTTGGGTTGGAAAGGACCTTAAAATCATTTAGCTCTAACCCCTCTACCATGGGCAGGGACACCTTCCACTAGATCAGGTTGCCTAAGGCTCTGTCCAACCTGGCCTTGAACACTGCCAGTTCAAGGGTTTAACCAATTGGGTCACTACACACTGTATATTGAATGCGCTGCTTCAGGTCTGTAATTAAATAATTAAAAACAAAACCAAACTAAACCACAACAGCTGGAAGGTCAGGCCTTAAGGGATCCTGACTCAGCCTTACTGAAAATAACTGGAAAATTAATTAAATCAATATAGCAGCTGCAGCCTACCTACCTGTCTTATGGTACCAGTATCTCCTAACAGCAGCAATTTACTCACCCAGACAATGACAAAGAGAGTGCTCTACAGTTTGGACCCATCTAAACACCAGCATTAATCTACATGTCTTAATGGGGGTAGGGTGAGGGGAAGTGAGCTGAAACTGAGAAGCCACTCGTCACCCATGGGAGAGAGCTCTCATCTCAGTGCTTGGTTGAGTTCCACAGAAATTTACTCTTCATTTGCTGCACCAATTACAGTTTGAGAAATTAAAATCCACTCCTCAGAAATGAAAGCATGTTTGGATGTGCCCTGATTCCAAATCCCACTTCCTGTCCCTCACCTGATGAGCCATGCTAGTGGAGAAATGCAGGCCATCTACTACTGTAAATCATGCTATTTCCATTTCCGGGGAAGGGGAAAACAAAAAGCCATAAACATCTCTTGCACTGGCTACATATCTAAGTCAGTCAGCTCAGAAAGATCAAGAGACTAATGGGGTCAGCATCATGAAAGCACCCTGGTTTCTGCTGTCATCAGGATGGTATCCAGTTGCTCACAACTTTCCTGTTGCTCCCCAGGACAACCAGACACCTCTACGGAGCTGTACTGATTAATACTCTCTTTGATGCAACTCCAGATTGAGGCTCCAGCTGACATGTCCACTGCAAGATACATGCCACCCAGTGGATCCTTTTTGCTCACTTCCACTTAGGAGACAGAAGGAAAAAAATAAAAATAAAAAAAAGTGGAAGGACAACAAAAGCTCTTCAGAGCTGTTCTGAAAGGAAACTACGTAGGCAGATGCCAAGGTCTTCCCTACCAAACTGGTTTACTTCATGCTTAAGCCTGCTGTTTCTGGAAAGAAATTGCAGATACACAAAGGCAAGCAGATGCCAGGTAAGCAGCCGTATTGTGGAATTAGTGAGCAGGAGTATTTCCTCTTGCAGCCATGTCACGTTTTTCCTTTATTTTTCCCAGAGCATGCAGGATAGCCCAAAAGTATGTTCTCAGAACCAAATTGCTCCTATGGCCAGGATGTTCCCCTCCAGGGACTGGCCTGGCCACCACAGAGGACTGGTGAACATATATGGACTGGCCACCTTAGAAGAAACTTGGGAAAGCTCTGAATATGGCTGAGGATGCACATGGAAGAGCATGATCTTACCTCCCAACACAGGGTCACCATGTTCATGAGGCATCTGGGAATCCTGGATTGCCAGATCTTTGCTAAGATAGGCACCTGTGCCCATCACTTGCCCTAGCAGTTATCTGGAGACTTGAAACCATTGCATTAGACAACAAATGGAGGATAAATCTACTACCCATGTTGTCATCCCTAGAGAGTTTTGCTGCATTTATTAGCATGCAGTTGAAGTGTCAAACTATCTCATGATATTGGAACAATCACAGAATGGTTAGGGTTCTGTTTTGTGATATGTTAGTTTACTAACTCTGTATCCTGGCTGATGGTGTGGATATTTGAAGGCAATGCTGAAATAGCTAGACCAGCAACCATTCCCTTTTCTGGAGGGCACATCTGAGATGAGAATGCACTGGCAAAAGTTCTTTTTGTGACAGTTGCATTACTTATCCAAGTTAGTGATGTTATGACAATAAGGGTATAAATTACATCTACAGAAGAAAGCCTAACCAGCCAGGAATGTTATTTTTCCACTTCTCCAAGCAACGTAGCTATGAAGACGCCTCCCCATGCAACCTTGGCCTGCGACTTAACACTATGCTACCTTAAAAAATAACAACCGCTGCTCCTTTACTGACAGTTACATAAGTATAACTATTCTGACACCTAAGCCTCAAGCCTCACATCTGTAATGAAAGAAAGCACAAAAATAAATACACTTGGGAGAAGGTGGGAACTGCTACATTACTGCTACTACAAGAGCAGTAGTGCTGATCCTACAACCTAGAGTGTTTTGTTTCTGTTTTTTTTAAAAAAGACATTTCAGGTCCTTCTTTCTATGCACATGGCTAATACACTGATATCAAGAGCTTGCATCTTTTCCATCTCCCTTGACACCAGGTAGTGCAGCAGACCGGCCATCAAGTAATAACTAGGAATTAAATTGCTTCAGTGGGTTTAATACATAAAACCTGAAAAGGTTTATGCTTTTGGGTTCAGTTTTGTGTGGCATCCTGAGGATGGTACGGGCCACCTAATTCCAGAGGGTCCACTCCTTCTGCCCAAGAAAGCCAACACTCAACTGGACTGTACAAAACATCAGGAGAGAGGACAAGGTGAAGGGCATAAAAAAAATCCCCAGTGGTTGAAGTCAGCCACAGGATGAAGCATGCACTCAGATTATCTCCCAGTCCTGATCACAGACTAAGTTCCTCACATCCCTCAGATGAGGCAGCTGATAGCACCTTTTCTACACTTACCAAATATCAGGAAGTTTAAATGACGTGCAGGGTTTAGAGATTCTCAGATGTAACAGACAAACATGCAGTGCTACAGACCCTAAGTGTCAGCAGAGTCAGTGTGAATGTGTCATCTCTCTGAGGTTTACCACCTTAAAAAGAAGTTGGAGTTTTCAAAGCTCTGGTGCCTGGGAGACATACCCACTCACATTTTACCTCCTAGATAAAACAGTTTTTAAAGGTGCTTTCTTTCCACCATGAAGGGATGTCTCATGTTTAAAATAAAGGTTTGAAACCACTTGGCACTCCCATCAATCTGATTGCCAGACATTTATCCACCTGAACCAAGGTCTCACCTTCACCACAGCATCACCAGTTGTTTGTAGGTGCCACAAGCTTTCGCATGTGGCTAGATAAGATCAGGTCCTTCATAAGGACAACTCTGAGAAACTCATTTAGAAGTCTAGTGCTTTTTAAAGACACCTCAGAGGGAGAAAGCAGAAGGCTCTCATCCCCCCAAACTTGCTTAACCCTTCATTGCAGGGTTTCTTCTAAGGTAGAAAAAACACACACAAATACCATTGAGTAAAGACTATTCATCCCAGCGCAGCCATCTACAGGAGCACTGTTCACTTGCAAACATCTGGCAGCATGGAATGATCATTTTCACGTCAAGTGACCCAACACTGTTTGCAAGCTATCAGTGCACACCAAAAACACATGCATGCTGTTTCTTACAGAAGCTAGAAGGGCCCTGGGAAATGGTTGTTCTGGATTCAGTTTAATCAGTTATTTAGCACCACAGGACTGCACAGAGAGGGCATAACTGTAAATGCCTGTGAACAACTGAAATTAAGAATGACAGTTGTCAGGGGAGCAGAGGAGACCTTTAAAGAACAGAAAAGCCAGCTGAAATTTCAACTAAGGGACAAGACCCTTACCTGAAGCACCCAGGCTTTGACAAGCCTGCCTGCACTCCTTTTCAGTCGTAAGCATGTTTATTCGCAGTACATGGACTCCTCTCACTTTCAGGACAGAAAACCTGTGTTCACATATACAGAAAGAAACCA